TCATGATGTTCAACTTGTTTTTGTTAAAGCCCGAAATACTAATGAGGACGCAAGGTTCGGGAAACACTGGAGTAGGTGTCAAAGTCAGATCAAAGGTCTGTCTATTCGTCATTGTCTATATTTTTGTCAGTACATAACTAGAAACACTTGAAATAGTTTTCGAAATGTTCTCTCCTGAAACGTCATTTTAACCATCTATATAAAATAGAGGTTCAAAGTCAAAGCTATGCACCAGAAAAAAAATGCTTAAAACAGATGGCTATAAATAGTCATAAGCCCGATGTAATTTGAAAGGTCAGAAAAATCTAAAAAATCGAGTTTTTGAACAACTAAGAAGAATCTATAAATGACAAAATCTCTTCTACTTATACCAGTCCTTAATGAGTATACGAATTATAAGCACAAATAACTACAATCCAACAAGTATATATTGCGAAAGTATGGCTCTGAAACTGCCAAACGTTGAAATATACACATCCTATTTGATATGAAACCTGATTTGCACTATTTTATAATGAAAAGTAGTAATGACGTACCTATATCGTATAAATTTCGCTACGATGTATATTATGCTAAATTATCTATAAATATCGACATTTTGGTTTATTGATAGTCTATTTTATCGAAACATCAGTAGATAATATTTTGTGCAATAAACAAATGAAATCATATCAGTATCTAAATGGAAACTTAAATGTTACTGACCTGAGAATGATTTTAATATGCATGACATTACTGGCCGATCAATGATGTTGATTTGATGCCCAGCCCAGTTGATGTTTATAAAAACATAACACCAACGGGTTGTTATTATTATTGCGTTAACGCTCGTCAAACGGTGGTTAATGACGATAAAGCAGAATATCACGTTGTTACATCTAAGGTGGGATTTTGTCTAATGTACTGCTTACTTACAAAGGCGCTAGGAGCTGGATTAATGTATACTTAATTTTATTATTGAAACTAGTATTCTAATGCAATATGCCATATATTTACTAAAAGCATTAATGTAATAATATTTGTTTAGTCCTGGTCGTCTCTTTAAGTTTTTTTTTCGTTACTGCGGATATCGATAATATCCCCAAGTTGGGGTTTTCCTTTTCAGGCACAACTGCGTTTGATATAACAAAGCTAATGTGTGGTGAAGCGTGAGCGAACAAGTAAAAAAATACATGGAAAAGTTGCTCCCTGTTAAGTTGAATTAAAATTCCAAGTACGGCTCTATCGTAAAATCCAAGAAGCACATGTAACAAAAATAACAAAAAACAGATCGAAAAAATGACGTCGGTGTCACTTTTCCTTGGTGAACGTATGTTATAGGTACTGTTCAAAGTTGTCGCCGTTGGATTCAGAAACACATGTGCGTGCTCGATGTAGCCAAGCCGCGGTCGCATTTTGAAGACACTCACCGTAAAGTAACACCATGTCGACTAGTTCGCTATCGGTGTATGAGTGTGCCATTTTTTTTTTATTTTTTGAACAGCAATCGGTTACTAATGTAATGGTTTGTTGACCCACACTGTCGGCGTATAGGTTAGGTTGCATACTGGTGCATTTACATCGTAGTCGTACGTCATGTAACTGTACGCTGGCGCTATGGACGTGATCGAGGGACAGGACCGGTTTCGGTTTGGTTCAGGTTTGATTGGGTTTGCGGAGCCTAATATAGTATCTCGGTTCTCTTAAGACATTGGTGTATATGCCTCTTAGAAAATCCGTTAATTTTCTTAAGATCTACACGTCGTATAAAGGAAAACTCCAACTTTGCCGACACCCTATGTTACCAGCGTCCTTATAGTCGTATCAACAATGCATTATTGTCAATATCATGTAAAATAAGTTAGAGTATTAATAAAATTGGCATGCCTGCAATTATCTGCTTGGTCCTTAACGTACAGGGGCCTCAAAAAGTTCCGGACCTCTCCCCACCTAACCCAGAGAATACTTAAGCAATCTAGTGTTGATCTTGACAATGACCTTGAATTTGACCTTGAAGGTAATTTTAAGGTCAAACCGATTTTCTCAAACGGGATCGTATAATTTTGACCTCGGAAATAGAAAGAAAGAAAAATTCAAAAGTTGGATACGACCTCGACCTTGACCTTGAAGGTAATCTCAAGTTTACTTCAATTATAACTATATTGCAGCAAGATGGCACACCCCCATTACACACACGCAGGCTCCGTCTATACCTTATTCAAGTATTTGAATTCAGGTGGATAAGACGATGGGGTAGCATTGAGTGGCCACCACGGTCGTTAGACTTAACCCTACGAGACTTCTATCAGTCAGGGTTATTGAAAAGCAAAGCGTACACAAATAAACCTTAAGATCTAGATGAATCGCATGCTCGAATAAATCGAGAAATGGAGGTAATACCTTCAGAAAAGTAACGCGATGCTACCCAGGCGTTCTATACAAGACTTGCTCATTGTCAGGCTGTCGAAGGGAAACACTCTGAACCATGTTGAAAGCAGATATCTTCATTACATTGAGTGATCTACCTTGCCTTCAACGGCCACTGATCGATCTGGTCATAGTCATGGTCAAGGACATATCCAAACTTAGAAATGTCCCCGATTTCCGGGGTCGTAAGTATAGGATCCTATTTAAAAATCAAACTGACCTTGAAATAACCTCCACAAACATATAACACGTAACGCTGTCTTTGGACACTTGATGCGTTATCCCACCCGGGTCTGCCTTGTTGAATCATTTCCGCGGTACGATATCAACTTCGCATCTCAGTAGATAAATAGTTTTTATATACTACCTTTAAAACTGGGTTTACTATCTTTTTGAAAAGGTTATTCACAGGGAACGACTTCGACGCGTATCCCGTATTTCAAACTGATCGATGGAAAAGTGGCATTTTATAGGAAGTATTCAATGAAATATCCTTTCCCAAAAGGTCACTGCAGAAAAATATGTGCCCATTCCAAAAGTTAGCTATCGACCCAGAAAAATGGAATTCAACGAGCAAAATTTATGGTGCCATCAGGAACATAAATAGCGATCAAACGATTTTTCCCGATGATAGCATTTTGATTAATTATTTCGGACTGTACAAAACAGGTAGTTTATGCGTTCAATCCCATAACAGCAATCCCTGTTTTTCTGGAAAATATACGCATCATTACAATAGGAATATACAGAGTTTACAAAACTTGTCCAACACAGAATGATTCTACGTATTGAAATACTATAAATATTGTTGAAAGATCCTACATTAATTGAACATGTGCGTATGCAATACTTATGACCTTTGAAATCATCTGGATGGCCCCACAATACCCGTATCTACACCTGTATTCCTGGGTGAACAAATAATAACTCATTTACTTTTTGAGATATAAGAGAGATTTTGAGGTACAGATAAGGAGTTTGTTATAATGGTAAGCATTTGCCTTCATTACGCCCTCAGTCTTTATTTGTCCGAATTTCTGGTTTATATCATCAGAAACAAATGAGTTATGATGAAACTAAATGTACATTTACATGAATACGATTTTGGAAAAGCTCAGGCCTCGTACTTTTTTAAAAAGAACATTATTTTATTAGCAGGAACCATATGTAATGATTTAATCCAAAGAAATTGTTCGAAATAACTACCCTTCTGCCAAAGTGCAAAGTTCCAATATGACCGCAGATGGTAATTTCTTATTGAATTGCCTTCAGCAACTATCCGAGTTCTAATATCTTCCATATTTTCTACCAAAGTAACTGAAATTATTCGCTTAGATAGCTGCGCCATGAATAATCCAATAGATTTAAATTTTGAGATTGAGCAGGGCATAAGTAAGATGCTCTGATGATATCTATGTCTCTGTTGAAAGCTCACGAGCAACTATACTGGAGTCGCTAGATTTGGCCAAATGAAAAAATAGTGTCAAGTAGGTTGCCTCCCACGCAACGCCGTCATCGGACTGATGAATATAACCCCATATGGACTAAAAGGGGTTATATCCATCTCAAGTTAGACCCTATCGAAATAAGACAACGCCACAGACCGTCCTGGATAGATGATAGTTGCAATGCTTTAGTTTGTTCTCCCAGAGGCCAAGCCTAGACTATGCTGATAAGTTACCAGAAAAGTACGAAACAGCTGTTTGTAGTTGGCTATCGTTAGTAATACGGATGAAAGCAGCATGTTTATGTCAGACCCACCGAGAAAAAAGTTTGTTACGAACATGTATAACAGAGAAATTAGACAGACCAAGTTCATCAAACACGCCCGTACAATTAGTCCATTATTTCCCTGCCCTACCCGTAGTACCATCCATCTGGCAACGTCGCGTCGCCTCTCCCCGATACCTGAATGCACAAAGCGTCAGACATGGCAGAACGCTCACAGACCACCAGTCATGCGAGGACTTATAATGAACACCGGCACGCCGGTGTCAGCATACGCAGGGATGATTGTCGAAAACATTTTGCTATCGTTCTAAAGGCAAATGAACAGGGAAAATCTATGATGTGTGAAATATGTCTAATAGGTGCGTATAAATACCGGGGTAGGAAGTGTATTACTCGCAAAACATAAATAGCATCAACAAATTGCCCTCTGAATATTTTTTAAAAAACGGTCAGAATCCTCTAAAACGTCAAAAAAAGCAGTTTGAGTGTGTTTTTTTTTGGCTGGTTCTCCGCCGCCACTAGGCTGTCCAAGGATTAGTGGACAGATAGAGAAGGAAATAAGTGACATGGTTTTTAGTGATATATAACACCCAAAAAACATAATATCTCATTTTTGAAATTTTTCGCAATTACAATACTTCCTCGCCAGTGTGGCGTGGGAAGTAAAATGACCCTAATGTATTTACAGAGTTACGAAGTACCTGGCGGTGTTGTTGCTATTTTGAACTCCTCTTTTACGTTAAGATCGATTCACAATAAATCCAGTGTAAACATATAACTGAAAACCCCTTTTCTAGGCAGTAAAGGTTATAGAGCTCAGAAACAAGACGTATATTTTTAGGGGTCCCTCCAATTAGACATAATATTGGGGACGCCAACTTTTATGTCGGTATTGAACATCGAATGACTTTGATATTTACCAACCGAGTGATTTGGTTATACGTGTTTCTGAAACGTCAATTTACTACAATTTTAGTCATGAATCGCTTTACACCGAAACAACGCACCGAAATAGTCACAATGTAAAATCGTCGTTCAGTTGTGTTAACGCAACGTGCATATCATCGAAAATATCGTGGCAAATAGGCACCGTCTGACAACACTATCTGTCATTGGGTTTCGAATTTTCTTGTGTACGGGACAGTGGGAGATCGTCAACATACCGTTCATCAACGACCAAGACGTTACAATGAATTGGTTGAAGCGGTCAGAGACAGGCTTGCCCAGAACCCAAAAGTGTGGTATCGTCACCGCGCTCAGCATTTTGGCATCAGTGGAACCACGTTGCGGCACATTTTGAAGAATGATTTGCATGTGTTTCCTTATAAGGTGCAGTTAACACAAAAAATCCCCATGAGTTCCACGAAATGCCGTTATATGACCGGAAAGTGACTGTATGGGCCGGTGTTTGCACCAAAACCAGCATTGGGCTATTTTTCTTCAATGGAAATGAAACAGTCGATGGAAATCGATATCGGTGGATGTTGGCTCATTATGTCTGCCCACAAATGCGTGAAAAAGGTATTGATGGTTACTGGTTTCAACAAGACGGTGCGCCATGCCACACTGCAAATGAAACAATTCAGTTTCTGCAACGAAAATTCCCTGGACGTCTGATGTCAAAAAGAGGTGACATTGACTGGCCACCCAGGTCTCCAGATTTGACCCCATCGAACTTCTTCTTGTGGGGTTATTTGAAAAGTCAAGTGTACGCCAGCAAGCCCCAGACTACTGAAGAACTCAAGTCAAACATTCGTACCGCAATCGCCGCTATACCACCAGAGATGCTCGAAAAAGTAATGGAAAGCGCAGCAAAATGGACACTTTTTGTTTTGGCCAATAAAAGAGGCCACTTGATAGATGTTGTATTCAAACACTAGTCCCAATAAAAATACACGATTTACAGAAATCAGTTTTTCGTTTTCAAAGTTATTTCATGTTTACATACCGACATAAAAGATGGCGTACCCTGTATCTATTTTTTCGTATTTGTATTACATTCATCTGCACCCAACGTTTGAGACAACATGCTCCATATTGAGATCTACAAAGTACTGTTTAGACTTTTGGCAAGATAGGATTCACATCCCTTCAGTGATAGGTTACCTGAATGGTTAAAGAATCGTCAATGTTTATAAAATCGATATTTAGAGCTTTGGAGCTAATCTTATATTATAAATCTGAAAGTGTGGATGCTTGTTACTCAATCACGCCAAACAGGATCTGGTACAGAGATAGGCTATAGTTTGAAATATCGCATAGACTACATTAATGGAATCTGACATGAGGTGTCTGACGCGAAAGCGCTCAGTCGCTGGTCCGACCGAACGGAGTAAGGGTATATAATCGTGCATCGTGCATTTATCGCATTTCGACGTTCATTTTCTTAGCATGATCGTCTTGATTTATATTTGTTTGGTGCTTTGTTTTACACACAGGCTGTGAGATACTTCACATAATATTTATTGTGATTCTATTTTGCATTGAACTTAAACAAAAAATATCCATTGCCAAAGTAAGTACTGCCATTCTTCTTCACACTAATGCAAAACGAATAACCTATACTGCACACTACTTCCACGAGGGTAAAGCCCCAAGTTTAGGCTAGTCAATTCATGTATTGCTTTCTTTCTACATAGACTATCCAGATATGAAAGCTACCATGAGAAGCTATGTGAGAAAAAGACTTGAAGCAGGAAGTAAGAAACGGTCCTAACCTGAAAATGGCCGTCAATAGGGCATTGTTCTTTCATAAAAAAGGTGCATGTGTCCATGTAACGCATACAAATCTGTGCCGAGTACAGTTACAGTACAGGCTACGTGCCTGTGCATCTTCAAACGTGAACATGAAAGTATGCTCAACATCTTGTGGTTGTGAAGTAAGAGTCATTAGGAAAATACCTTGAATACAATCCGATTGAAAGGCAGGCATGACCGTCCATAGAAAAGGTTTTCTCTGAGAAATGAAGTCTGTGTCATGACCCACATTTATAGTCCACCCTTTAGATCCGGTTGGTTGAGGGTTGATCAACCCTTGTATATTAAATGAAAAATAGCGCACCCTCAAGTGGATAACAGGTATCATCACAGGTGTACAAAATAGTAAACATTTTCAGAATTATGAGCATTTTCAAAATTTGCATATAATTCAAAGTATTCAAAATTTTTAGATTATTTTAAATTCAAAGTATATTTTTGAGTATTACAGAGTTCTCAAAATTGTTAGTTTTCGCAATTTTCAAATTGTCTAATATTTTTGAAATAAAAATGTTTCCGCATTTCCAAGATTAAAACTTCCATCAAGACCTCAAAATTTTAAAGATTTTTAAATCTTGAATTATAAGTATCAATGTTTATCAAAGTTTTTAATGTTTTCAAAGATAGATGTATCTATACTAAAACTCATTCATTCGTGATATAACCATCTCAATGTACCAATTTGACAGCCTGCTAGTTCGCCATTTTCAGAGAACGTAATCTTATATTTTAGGGTAATAAGATACTCATGAGAATCTCCAAAATACAGTAGCACACGACCTCCATTTGAATTAAAAAAAATCCAAAATGGCGCCCAGCAGACATCTTGCTGTTTAAAACTTTTATTTTTAGGCTAAAATATAGGTAGTATTCCTGCATCAATTTTATTAACCATTCCCCATTATTCAGATTGCTAACTTGAGCCGTTCAAAAAATAAGTAGGGGGGACCATTTTGGAAAGCACTTTATAATAAAATAAGGAATTGTCATTTTTTTAAACGAAATTTTCCCCATTTTATTACACAAAAGAACTCTGGTATAACATACTAAAGATTCTTGATGACTAGCTGTTGAGTTATAAGCGATTAACAAAGACGCTGAACTTTAATACACTGCATGTTAAGATTTAGTAAATTTATACTCTATAGAGTTATGAAATACTGCCATAAGGAGCCACACATTCCACTTATTTCCATATTTCCAAGATGGCACTCAGCTACCATCTTGAAGTTGAAAAATGAACTTGAAAAGCACCTAGGCGGCAGCGGTGGCCGCAGTAGTAGACTCTTCGGTCTCCTGATCAGTCGCCGTGCGCTGTGCGGGTTCGAGTCCCGTCCCAGGAGAAAATTTTCTCTTGGCTATGGATGTTGCGATTGTCCGTAGGTGGAGGTACCACCCGGCGGCTCTCGTAGGCGGAGCCAGAAAGTGTGCATGTTGCATGCACACGTGTTCCCTCGCCAGAGTCCGTGTGGCGTTCCCCCTTTCCCCTGTATCCCCCTATAGCCCCACGGTACCCAATGGGTGTTTAGGCCTTAGGCCTTCGTGGTAGTTGGATTATAAAAAAAAACTATATGCACGTAATAAAGTTAGCACTATCATTAGTGCATTTATTTGGTGCTTTAAAAAGATACTGACAGAAAAATGATGGAGATACTGGATGAATTTACACTTTGAAACTTTCCGCTTACCCAGTTATGTTCCAAAAAAGGCACCCAAAAATAGTTTTTATATCTCCATTCTGAGTTTACAAGTCGCATTAGACGTGTGTAGTAAACTTTTACTGATACATTACAGAGCACAAAGAAGAATGTATTCTTTTTAATGGAATACAATTTTACGACAGCTTTAATCAAATATATCAGGGTCATTACAATAATGATCACTCATCAACGGAACGCTTAAATCTGTATATAAAAAGTTAATGGACATCTGAAGCATTTAAACAATTTTATTAGGTCCAATTGCAGATGCGCCTTGCTGTGGATTCAAACCTTGTTAGTGCAGTAGTATTAGTCCAAAAACTGAAAAAAATAGATTTTAGAACAATTACTGAAATAAATCTGAATCCCTAAACCGTACAAACACAACGAGAAATTTTCCTAAAATCTCACATAAATTCTAAATTGTTTGAAACATTATACATAGATTACTTAAATATTGCTCTTTAGCATAACGAAAAGTTTCTTTACTATTAAATATGACCGGGAGAGGAGCTCTATCGAGCAGTTGTTTGTATTTAGATGTTGCGTAAATGCCCTTTGACCATAGTATCATCGCAAGTAGGGCTTTTGTAGCGAATACGCCAAGCTAAAATATTGTCTGAAGCAATTTTTGCTATATGTAATGTTTAAGGCACCGGAACAGAAAAATCAAAATTAAAAACATTTTTGGAAATATTTCCCTCCCTGACCACCGCAGGATCCGGAAGTTTCATTAATATTAGCATTTTGTTGAGCTAAAGGTGTCTATTCACTGGGCTATTGCGCAAATAGAGATAGGTACAAGATATGTATAAGTGGTAGAGAAGTGCTTTTTGCCATTTCCCTTTTTGGCCGAGGAAGACCCTTGAACATTTGTTTAAAACTATTACAACTAAGCTGGATCTACTTTTTATCAGCACAGTAATTGTGGCAACGGTGATGATGACGTTAGTAAAGGTTGTTTCAATAAGTACGCAATATTTCAAGGCTCTATTAAACATGGTATTTCGTAAAAAAAAAACTGAAATATTTATTGGATTATGATGGACACTTTGGAAATGTGTATAAAACAACACATCAGGTAAATGGCTGCCCTTTTAATACAATTTGTGTTAACATTTTTAAACACATGTCGTGGTATCTCGTTGATGCAGCGTCTGATTTCAGCTTTCAATGCTTCGGTGGTTGCAGGCTTGTTGGCATACACTTGTGATTCCAGATAACCCCAAAGCCAAAAGTACAAAGGTGTTAAATCGCAAGAGCGTGGCGGCCAATTCTGGTCACCAAACCGAGATATGACTCGACCAGGAGCAAACTCGTGCAAAACTGCTAATGTTTCATAAGCAGTATGGCATGTGGCACCATCCTGCTGAAACTCTATGTCATTAAGAGCCATGACTTCTAATTGTGGCACAAAAAAATGAGTAATCATTGCAAGATCACGTTCGCCATTCACTGTTAGTGGATTACCCGCCTGGTCCTCCAAGAAAAACGGTCCAATAATTCCTCTAGAAACAGTGACACGTTTTGGATGCATAGCAAATGCGGCAGTTTTGTCTATAGACGAAGCCATCGAGATGGAAATGGGCCTAATCCCTAAAAATGATTTTGTCTACAAAATCACCATTCACATACTGTTGGCCAAGGATTTAATTGCTAAACTCTCTTCGCTGTGCATGGTCTGTTGGCATAAGCTGTTGAATCAATTGAACTTTGTAGGCATGCAGGTGTAAATCTTTCATTAGAATACGCTGGGGACTTTTTGCTTTACTGTCCAAT